CACCTATTCGTTCTGTTACATGTACTGAGGACCAATGTTTTCAATTCCATTTCAGTCCTTTTCAACCCTTTCTATGTCCTAACCCTAAAACTAACCCTAAACCTAACCATTACAAATGCATACCTCACCCCAACCCAATTGGCCCCTTAGCCTCAAACCTAACCATTAGCAAAATAACTTGTGAGGACCAGCAAAATGTCCTCACTTTTCAGCAACTGGTCCTCAATCAGAGGTTGAAATTTGAAAAATTGTCCTCTCTCTGAGGGCTAGACAGGTACACACACTCATACACCATGCATTAAGCTGTCAAACTTAAAATAATGTCAACTTCATCCTTCAAGGAGAAACAACAGATTGTTTTACATTCTCAATGAATACTATATTGAGTTTAACTTTAATTTGCCAAACTAATAAAACATGATGACTAAAAAAGATGTAGCAGTCTCAGTACATCCAAATATCCAACTGGTTAGAAATCGAAATTGAGGCAGTTCCTCAGAAATGAGAAGACATCTTGTATGCGCAACAACAAATTAAATGTTGTGGCTCCTACATGAATGCCTTGGGCTTGCTAAGCTTTTGATAATTGCAGTTTTCTAATTCGAATGACCTTGAGGTCAAATTCAATGTTTCTTCAACCCTAAACAAATTCAATTCAATTATTAAAAATGTTTGCACCAATGAAGTTGCTTTAAAACAGGTACTTATCGTAGAATATGATTGATATATGATTGATGTTTTTCTAATGGCAAGTAGCTAACTCGCTTGGGATAAGCATGACAGAAAATGGATGGATGGATGGCAAGTAGCTGAATTAATCATTTATCACAATTGTTTTCTCTTCTTGAGTCATAATGACAGCACAGACCACCTGAATAACCCTGCTGTGAGACTTTAGGTTTTTGTCCAGTAACATACTCCCAGGGGGATACATATCTCTTATAATGCCAAAAAAGATATCCATAGTCACCTTTCATCTGTTTTTGTTTTGTCGATAAATTTATATAGCAGGTCAGTGAATTTCTGGCCTCCTTGTAAACATTACTAATAAGAGCAACAGGAATGACAAAACAACCGACAAAGGACAATAAAGAGTTGAACCTTATTAACCATGAAAACAAACTATAAAATTTTTAATAAGTGAGGATTCTAAGTATTCAGACTAATTAGGAAGTAAAGAATGGAGGAGGCTGTTAAAATCATATGCATACTCCATGCAGAAAGACACAGGGCCAGGAATTGAACCCATAACCTGCTTCCTGCAACGCAACAGTGCAACATATTGTTCCACTGTGTAGCACAAGGTCACTTTCAGCTGACAGACAAAAAGCTTTGCTAATTGAGAAGAAACTGCAGAAGAGCATGTTAAAACCAGAAAAGGTGGATGAGAGGTGGAGTTTGTGTGAAGCAGGCTGGCAAGTCTCACAACTCTCCTCATGTGGCACAAAATTTCCAACCCCACTCTGCTTATGTAAAATAGAATATTTGCCAATAATTTAAACTATGAGAAATTGGGCTATAAGACATTACAAGGCTGTTCAACAATTCTACTTTAGGTTTTCTTATATCAAATGAAGAAGTATGCACGCCGATGTCTAATATGCAAAAAAGGGCTTCCCCATTCATTTCCATTACAACATTGAGAACAATGTGAGGCCGGACTTTGGGACATCAAGAGAAAATTACAAGATAGGTCAAAGTGCATTGACTAATTTTGTTTAATGTATTTAAACATACATATATAGATTAAGAGTTCAATGGTTCATGCTTATTGCAAACTCCATTCTCTTATCATCCCTAAAGCAAGAACTAAAACAAATCATGCCAGGTGTAAAACACTTAATTTTTATTTGAATGATGTTGTGACATTAATTCAGAGCCTTTTTTCCTAGGCATCAAGTCAATGTCTATTCGATCTGAAAATTTGTTTAATGTTGTTTTGTTATATGTCAAATATATTGATTAACAGTATATGATGCATTAAAGCTACAGTGTGTAATTTTCAGCGACATCTAGCGGTCAGACTGCAGACCGCAGCAACATGAACATCTCCCCCCCACCGCTTCTCCCCCCCAACAGTACGGCGAGCGTTACGGGACAAAATTTCTTCCACGACGTCCACATCACCTACCTTCTCAAGTGATGAGGTTTGTTTACATAGATAATTTTACAGATAGTATTTCATTAGTCTGAGTAGGGTATAGATTTCATGTAGACTTAAGATAATAAATATACCCGTTATTTTTTCTACATCGTTGTGACGTTTTGGTGAGCTGCTTTGCATGGTGATATAAACAGACGAAGTAATTGTAGTCATTAGTTTAACAGCGAGATTGTGTTCGCTGGAAGAATATATATTCCCCGTTTACAGAGTCTAAGTCATTTTGGTGGCACGGGGGTTACAACGCGAGGAAGAGGGAGAGGACGAGGGCGAGGGCAGGGAGGCCGTGCAGCTAGGGCCAGGCGAGAGAGGGGAGCCAGCGGGGTGAGAGCAGAGGAGGAAAGGCTTGAAGATCTCCAAAGGAGCCGGAGAGAAGTAACCGAGGTATATATCCAGAAAATTATTTTACAGAAAATTACTGAATCATTACCTATGAAACGTCAGGGACGTTGCTGAATAAGTATACTGGAGAGGAACAGCATCATCACGCCGCAGCATGTTATTGTTTTAGACAGGTCTGAGCATCCTGTACTCCAAAAACTGCAGTGATATTAGACAATTGTGTGTGTAGGATTAATTACCTGTCCAAGAGAAAACTGGCAACTTGAGCGTCACTTTGAAAACCTTTTTCCTCCATCAGTGACTTCCATCGTGTAAATGCCGTGCCAATGTTGATCCGTGTTTTTTGCCGTTTCTTGTCATGCTTGCGTTTATTCTCGTCGTGTTTCCGCTTCTTAGATGACGGGGGTTCGGTGTCCGCCGCTTTTCGTTGTGATACAGAGTAGGCATGATCCTCCATTCGTCTGATGTTTGGCCACACAGTGCCAAACAGTTTGCAAAGTCACTCACGCCTGCCGCCTTGTTCACCTTTCTTGTTACTGAGGCGCAGTATACCTGCTTCTTCTTCTTCTTCTTTGGTTTCAGGCAGACTAAACGCTTCTCAGGCATAATACTGCCATCTACTGTTCAGTACCGTCTCAGTTCATCTCTCTCAACTTGCCATAGTTATTTTTGAGCGTCATGGGAGATCTCGCAATCGCTAGTTTGTTGCCTCTGCGCTTGCCGTAGCGCAAAGATGTCAGCCTCCATGGCTGCGAGACCCGCTCCTATGTAATTATAAATAACGAATTCTAAGGCAACGCAAATATTATGGTTAAAAGGCTGAGCTCATAGGTGATGATAAATAACATAGTTATGTATAATATATTAAATTTCTGACTTTATATCCCTGTAATTATTACACACTGTAGCTTTAATTGAGTGTGAGATTGATTCTTTGGTTGAGGATATTAACAACCATAAGTAACTCAAAGCTTCTATAGAATATTTAGCGTGGTAGTCAAAATCTTGACCAATCTTCATTTTAAAATTGATGTAACGATGCTCAATGGTGTAATAGAGGCTGCCATGGTGACAGCCCATCTGTCCATCTAAATTACAAACATAACCAGTGTATTCACTTTATTAGTATCAGATAAAAAGATTAAACTGATTTTACAGTAGGTAATATATCATTCAAGGGCTCATCTAATTGGTCAAATACCAATATAAGATCTTTCCTGAATGACTGGATATAGATCTTCTGCTTCTAGACCTCACTGAGGGAGGGGGGTGGGGGTGGGGGGGGGGGGACTCCATTTGTAAGGGGAATGCAAGATCAAAAACAGTAACTTGCCCTATAAAGTATATAAATAAACAATAAATAAATATTTTAGTGTATTTATTATATTTTATCATTATAAAAAAATGAAAATGTTAGAGCTGTAAATTTACATATGTTTATGTTACTGTTTATATTTTTTTTACTTTTTTTCAAGGCTGCACTTTAAAAAAAATAAAATTGTCTGTTCTAAACGAAATTTCTTTTTGGTTTACACTTGTTTAAACAACATGACAAATAAATCTGTCTAAGTCTAAAGGGTTAACAGCAGATTAGTGTTGCCATGGTAGCGTACCATGGCAACATCATTTTCAGACAGAGATGGTCCGTCTGAAAAATATGTTCGACTATCGTTCCGCGGCTGTAACCGCTCGTGGGGAAACAGCAGTCTCTCGCAGGTGTTGCCAATCAGCTGAGCCCTTTCGAAACAAGACGCGCATGAAAAGAGTTAGCAGTTTTTGATATGTGGTTTTAAAACCAATTAGCATTAAAGTTAAAACAAGTAAAGCTGAAGGAAAGAGTATGGTTAAGGAAAAACTGATGGAAAAGTGGCAGAAAAGGTGGGATGAAGAAATAACAGGAAGATGGTTTTATAAAATTCAGAAGAAGGTTAAAGAAAGAAGAAAGGGAAAAAGAAATAGAAAAGAGGAAAGAGTGATAACCAGGATAAGATTTGGGCATACTGGACTTAACTACTCACTTTTTAAAATTCAAAAACATGCAACTGGTAAATGTGAATATTGTGGAGAATGGGAAACAGTAGAACATGTTATTCTAGAATGTGATAAATATGAAAGAGAGAGAAGATGTATGATAAAAGAGTTTGAAAGTATTAAGGTAAAATTTATGTTAATAGATATTTTGAGGGAAAGTTTGGAGAGCAAACATATACAAATAGTTATTAGATTCTTAAAGAAAACTAAGATATTCAGTAGAATTTGATAGAGTAGACATAAGAGTGAATGTGTGGATGATAGTGATGAGTAGAATATAAATATGGATGTAAGTTTGTTTGTGTGGGTTGGTAGGTGTATGTATGAGTATATATAGATATATATATATACAAAAAGAGCGTTAGACCAACGAGAGCCACACTCCATACCAGTAAGTGGCGGTAATGCTACTATTAAGTTTGTTGCCAACCGCCAATAAACACAACAAGAAGAAGAAGAAGATATGTGGTTTTATTTTAATTCACCGTAAAATGTGTTAAAGTGAAGAAAGGAACAGAACGACATCAACAAGAACTTAGGAGCAGCAGCAGTACGGACAGCGGTAAACTTTGCAGCTGAGCGTGAAGCACAGATCGTGTTGATAATCATGGACGCGGTGGTGAAATTCACCTCCCAGAGTCAAGGGAGAGACCGGATATTCAGGTGCGCATGCTAAACTTTATTTGTTGGCTTACTTCTAATAAACTAATTATTAAGCAGCATACACACAGTTCTAGATGTTGATGTCTCTAAGGTTAGAACACAACATTTAATCATCAGTCTGCATGTTTTTCATTTCAGGGCGACCCAATATGCATGTGCACTGTCCATATATTTACTTCGTAACAACCCTGAGAGAAAGGACCTGGTTAACAAACTTAAAAGTTTGGAAACTAACATAAGTGCTGGACGAAAATGTGAGTATAATTATAAGATAAAAAAGAGAGAGCATTTTATGATAATTTAATATGATAATGTTTCTAAAAAATAATTTCTAATGTCTATTGAAACGTCCCTTTGTGATCAGTTTATCAATAAACCAAAAATATTTCCAATTGCTTAGATTTTACCTTATATCCGTTAATATAAACAACAATCAACCCTTTTTTTGTTTTTTGTTTTTATAGTTTCCATGGTCAGCATTCCAGCAGCATTTATTTTTTTCTGCAAACAGATTATCTAATTTAGGACTATGTGCAACTTAGTGTTATTTTGTATCTCTTAGGAAGTTTATCCAGGCTGCACAGTCAAAATGCATCCTATCCACTTTAAATAGGCCTGTTTCACTCTTGATCTCACATGCAAATTATACAAAGATTGGATAAAACATTGGATGGTTATTGATTTTTTAAGATCATGGACAATCATTTTTGGATGACTTAACAAAATAGTCTATTGCTCATGTTTCAGTTTTTCTGTAAATAAAGATTCCAGAATGCATACACACAGGCTTTTAAAAGTCTTGATTTTAAATAAAAGAAATCTAAAGTGGATCAATATTTTCTTTTTTTTAATCAAAGGTAAAATGTAAACTTCCATCATAGCAACATGCCTGTTAAAAACTTTTGATATCCTATCTTGCTGTTAGTTTTTCATCTAAAAGATATCTTTTTTTGTTATTGCAACCTTTGTGTAATCCAAAGAAATGTCTTCTGCATTCAACCCATCCTCTTAGAGGACAGTGGGCTGCCTTTGGGGAGCATTCTGGGGTTAAGAGTTTTGCTCTGGGACCCAGAAAGGAAGTCAGTGTAATTCAAACCAAGGAACTAGCAACATTCTACACCAGCTAAATGCTGAGTTCCCCCATCTATCCCACTTTTAGAAAACATTTTCTGAACATAACCCTGTTGGTGTATCCAGTATCTATCTTGAGATCTGATGTATTGATCACTAAAGTAAACCCTAAGCTTTAAAGTTGCCAAATAGTATTCAAGTTTTTTCTTATTTATTTTATTTAGATAAAAAGACCTGTTGTACTGTAATGTATGATAATATTATATACATGAGTTAATGGGAACTATATGAAATTAAGAAACTCTTGTGATTAAAGTTGCATCATTATGGACTGGTTAATACCTCTTTGCAGTTGGTTAAAACTAAACACTTGACCATTTTCTGTGCTTTTTAATACAGCCTGGGAGCTTGCTTCCCTCTGTTTGGTCTTTTAAAGCTAGATAAGTTCAATTTATATTTGTAATGCATACAAAAAAATTCAAGCAGTAAGTTGATAATTTTAATAACTAAATGCTCATTATGCCAGTGCCCTTATAAAAACACTCAAAGCATTCCTAGAACTTTGAGGGGGGAAAAGATTAATGGCTAATTTTTCAAGGTTTTTCTGCATGATGCAGAAAATTATTAAATCAGACTGCTATGCTTTCTACAAAAGCTTGATGTTAGTTAGTTAGTTGGTCTTTTTCAAATGATAATTCTGGCTCTAAACGGTTACTGCCATATTGTTACAGAATATAACTCTTTTTTTTTCTCCTAAAATATGAGGACTGCGTCTAACAGAGTTTTACAGCTCTCTGCTGCATAAAAGAACTTTAACCCTCCCTGAATTTTAAAGCAATCTTTTATTTATTTATTAATTTTTAATGTGAAGCTGCACACTGCTGTGCTTTAGGTTTGCTTTAGGTTAGCTTTTTATTTAAATGTTACTGTCATTCCAATTTATGTTGGACTGTGTAACATGCAAGGCTTTTGTAGCAACTCTAATAAGCCTTTAACCAGCCTCATATCTTAAGCATGACTTTCTAAACTTAAACATACATTTAGAGAGACTGACATGAGAAAAGTTTAACTTAGAAAGTTTCAAATCTATGTTACATGACTCCCCTTCAAGCCATTTCTAATTCTGTTGCTTTTGAGTCCTACAAAGTCTATAGCTGGACCACAGAGGGCTATGTTATTGATGCACAGCTTAATTATCTCTGAGTCAGAGCTGCTTGGAGCCTCTGCTGCTTCATCCTCTACACTTAATAACTCAGAGACCCTACTGTCTCACAATATCTAAGCAGACCTTTTAGATTTACTTAAGGCTACCTTGTTAAAATATTTATCAAATAGTTCAGCTTTGAATCAAAAGGAGAGATTATATTGAAACACTCAGAATGAATAAAGACCTTGATCTTTGTCCTACAGGGCCAATAAACCCAACATGTTTTTTTTTGTTGCTTAATTGTAATCTGTTTGCAGCAGAATGTTCCCTCTCTCTATGTTTTGATTGAACTCATTCCTGCTTTAATCTCTGCCTCCTTTGTCAGTGCTCAGGCTGGGAAACACAGCCAATTCCATTGTGGCTGTTAAACAAGCCATGAGACTCTCCGACCGAGTGCTACGCCTGTGCATTACTGCGGCCAACATCAACCGGGCCCTCTACTTTATCTGTGATAACTTACTGTGGGCCAGAAATGTGGGTCTGATCCTGAGTATCGACAAGGAACGCTGGAGCATTAACGCCTCTCGCTGCTACCTGTACTCATTAGTGATGAATCTGACCCAAGACCTGTATGTAATCCTCCAGCTGATGCTACAGAAAGGGAGAGATAACCACTTCAAGCAGAAAATGAACCAGCATCTCAATGAATCTCCGGAAGTAGCTGAAGTAACTATTCCTGAGCTGGACACGTTCGTTTTCCTACTTCTGGAGACTCTCAGATCAGAGCCGACGGTTGCCTTGGACACCGTGAAAAACATCTGCGATCTCTTCATTCCTTTAGACAAGCTGGGCATTTACAAGTCGAGTGCAGGGTTAGTTGGATTCTGTGGGCTGGTATCATCACTGATAGGCATTTTAACCCTTGCACGACCCACTTTAAGGATCAAACCATGATAACGAGGGTGGAGTTAGACCAAAGGTTAAAAAGGATCTAGGATTTATTTTCCAATGACAAACACTAGCAATAACAAGTATTTTCATACATATGTGTGAACCTTAAAACATTTCCGGTCTAATTAGATAATTAGAGATGCACCGATCAAGCTTTGCCTGTCAGATTAACTTCAGATGTCTCTGGTCTGAACTGCTGATTCATCATTTTAGATAAGAAAGAAAATGAAGTAATTTCAAGATAAATCTATATTCATGGATTTAAGCATGTCCTTAATCAGTTTTATTTTTATTATAAGCACAAAGGAGCTGGTTGATGTGGTCTAAAATTTTATGAATGCTTTTTTTATGCATATAATAAACAGGGAATAAATAATGAAAAATGTTCAGTATTTGAGTTGCTGATCAGGGCTGATCAAGGGGAAAAAGTCTAATCTGCTTTTGACCAAGTAATTGGTGCATCTCTACGTATAATTAAGTGATCCACTTAAGAAAATATTTTTCTTAAACATTTAACATTTAAAGATCCAAGACTTTTTAAAAACAATTCCTGTCCTCTACCAGCAGTTTCACAGATGATAGTTTTCCAAGTATAATGAAAAAAATAAAGGCTTGTTTATCTGCTCTAGAAAATCTAACATTTTTATCTGTGTGGATGGTTTAAACTTGCTTGATGTCTATGGCATTTTGAAAATCTTCCAATTAACTACTTTTGTACCTAATTGTGTTTAAATGCAAATATTTGTATCCATTTGCACTTTGCTTTGTACCTGACTTGTGATGTTTTAAATAAAAAAAGTTTACATTTTAGACTCAGTCAACCATAAAAAAAGGATTCTGACTCTATTGAGTTATATTTATTTACCAGGTGGATGTCAATCATATATCTTGGTTTCATCAGAAGGTCATAACCCTTTTCTTTTTCTTTGTTGATTTTAAAAGATTGACTGGCAGAGACAGGAACTACAGGCAACACATTTTGAGATTTATATTAAATTGTGCTTAAAAATTCAGCTAAATGGGACAAATCTGTGATGGTAATTTATCTGCATATTTAATTTTAAATGCTTAATTCCCAAAAGAAATAAATGGACATCAAAATGTTAAAAGGGTATGAAAGGGTAATGCTTGTGGATGTGTAAAGGAAGGCTGAGATAAAATGATGAATGTGTGCATAATGAAGGCGCATTAATAAAATGGCTTACTGACAAAGAGCTGCAGCAAGCTGGCTGATCATTGATGTCCAGGCTATGGCCTCTGCTCTGCGGTTCAAAACATGCTAAATTAATTTGAATGAGATGAAAACACATAGATGGTTTAGATGTTCCAGGGAAGGAATCTGCTGGCTTTATCTGAAAATAATGTCACTGAAACTTAACATGAAGAGATATAAAAGATTAGGAGGGGGGAAAAAAACTATTCACAGGTTATCTTGTTTTTCCTTTTTTCTAAAATAGATTTAACCTTTGGACTTTGTTTCATACAACAGGGGTTTAAAGCAGGTTTACTGAAAACGTAACATTTTAAAATCAGTTCAACTACCCAGAGCTGAACTAGTCAGGAGCAGGTTTTGTTCAGTAAACTCTGTGTTCGCCGTTTTCACCCTACTTAAAGCCAATCCTATTGTTTATTTCCTGATTTAGTCAGTTTTCTGCAAACAATAAAAAGGAAAATCAATTAGTAGGTCCGTTATAGATATTAGGTGTTAAAAATAAAAACAGCATGTTGTTTAGAAGAGGCTCCAATTAAAGAATAACCACATTAATTCACATAGAATAACATATTTACAGGGAGGCTCTATCCTATTTTAGTGGTCTACAAAGGGAACAACAGAGAGGGGAGCGCTTATAAATTTTAAAACGGCCTGCCATAGGCTCTACATATATACCTATGAATTAACTGAGCAGAAATTTTATCCTACATCATCTCTCTTTCGCAGCTGTAGCGCAGTTTCTTTCTTTTAAACACTTCAATCCAATTTGTTTTTATATTTCTGCATTAAAATCTCTAGTTCCAGTTGTGTGATATAGGCACTTCCTGTTGCCTGTTGTCATTCTGACTTTTCAAATCAGTGCTCCACAGAGAAAAGCTTTTCATACACAAGTGCTCAACTCTGAGTGGACCTACAGGTGCTGGTCATAAAATTAGAATATCATGAAAAAGTAGATTGATTTCAGTAATTCCATTTAAAAAGTGAAACTTGTATATTATATTCATACATTACATACAAACTCATATATTTCAGATGTTTATTTTGTTTAATTTTGATGATTACAAATGACAACAAATGAAAATCTCAAATTCATCATATCAGAAAATTAGAATATTGTGAAAAGGTTCAAAATTGATGGCCCCTGGTGCCACACTCTAATCAGCTAATTAACTCAAACCACCTGCAAAAGCCTTTAAATGGTCTTTCAGTCTAGTTCTATAGGCTACACAATCATGGGGAAGACTGCTGACTTGACAGTTGTCCAAAAGACGACCATCGACACCTTGCACAAGGAGGGCAAGACACAAAAGGTCATCGCTAAAGAGGCTGGCTGTTCACAGAGCTCAGTGTCCAAGCACATTAATAGAGAGGCGAAGGGAAGGAAAAGATGTGGTCGAAAAAAGTGTACAAGCAAGAGAGATAACCGCACCCTGGAGAGGATTGTGAAACAAAACCCATTCAAAAATGTGGGGGAGATTCACAAAGAGTGGACTGCAGCTGGAGTGAGTGCTTCAAGAACCACCACACACAGACGTATGAAAGACATGGGTTTCTGCTGTCGCATTCCTTGTGTCAAGCCACTCTTGAACCACAGACAGCGTCAGAAGCGTCTTGCCTGGGCTAAAGAGAAACAGGACTGGACTGCTGGTGAGTGGTCCAAAGTCATGTTCTCTGATGAAAGTAAATTTTGCATTTCCTTTGGAAATCAAGGTCCCAGAGTCTGGAGGAAAAGAAGAGAGGCACTTCATCCACGTTGCTTGAAGTCCAGTGTAAAGTTTCCACAGTCAGTGATGGTTTGGGGTGCCATGTCATCTGCTGGTGTTGGTCCATTGTGTTTTCTGAGGTCCAGGGTCAACGCAGCCACATACCAGGAAGTTTTAGAGCACTTCATGCTTCCTGCAGCTGACCAACTTTTTGGAGATGCAGATTTCATTTTCCAACAGGACTTGGCACCTGCACACAGTGCCAAAGCTACCAGTACCTGGTTGAAGGACCATGGTATCCCTGTTCTTAATTGGCCAGCAAACTCTCCTGACCTTAACCCCATAGAAAATCTATGGGGTATTGTGAAGAAGAAGATGCAATACACCAGACCCAACAATTCAGAAGAGCTAAAAGCCACTATTAGAGCAACCTGGGCTATCATAACACCTGAGCAGTGCCACAGACTGATCGACTCCATGCCACGCCGCATTGCTGCAGTAATACAGGCCAAAGGAGGCCCAACTAAATACTGAGTGCTGTACATGCTCATACTTTTCATGTTCATACTTTTCAGTTGGCCAACATTTCTATAAATCCTTTGTTTTTATTGGTCTTCAGTAATATTCTAATTTTCTGATATGATGAATTTGAGATTTTCATTTGTTGTCATTTGTAATCATCAAAATTAAACAAAATAAACATCTGAAATATATGAGTTTGTATGTAATGTATGAATATAATATACAAGTTTCACTTTTTAAATGGAATTACTGAAATCAATCTACTTTTTCATGATATTCTAATTTTATGACCAGCACCTGTATTTAGAGTTGGTTAACTCACAGCAGCTGTTGTGTAAATGAAAACTCAGTTTCCAATCTCAGGCTAGATCAATTCAGAGTTGAGGATTTAAGTCTGAGTTTGTTAAACCTGCTTTGTGAAACGGGCATCCAATGTGTTGTAGTGTTTAATAATTTCAGAAATTATATTACACGGACCTCATCAAGAAACATAACACCTTGTACAATTAAAGAGCTTTTTATTTTCAATTTCACTGAAACAATACATTTTGTTGTAAAAGATTATTCTCAAGAGGATGACATGATAAAGCATCCAGATATTGCAAAAATACAGTATATTCCATCGTCTCTTTCACAATGGTTTAGTTTAGCTGTGCAAAGAATGGCTGAGCGGCACACAAAATAATCCCCGAAAGAATGCGCAGACGTATAAAGCAATAAATAAATTTGTTCCAAGCAGATAAAATGCAGTGATTTTACACTAATATAAGATTTTTAGTTCACATTTCCATTGGTGTGGTGGTGGCATTTCCAGTACCAGCAATCTATTAAAGCACACCCTCATGGCAAAATTTAAAAGCAATTCACTGAGCTGGAAGATGCAATAAAACATAAATTTAGACTTGCTTCAAATGAAAATGGAAGCAGATACCTGTATAAGTTAGTGTCCCAATAAGCCTTCAACTCATAAGGCCAAATCTGTATCACTGGAAAACTTTCAAGATACCTGTTGCAAAAGTTTGTGCATTTAAGGCATCTTTAGAGATTTAAAAATGGGATAGACAAAGCACTTTTAAAAAGTGGCAACAGTGTCACACTACAGATTTGTAATTCCTGCTGGCAGGTTTTTCTTTCCCCACTAAATTAATACATGAATAATGAATCTGTCTGCTTCCTGTGTGAAAAAAGGCACCTCCAGTAGTTAGTTTGCTCCTGCGAAAGGTAAACAAAAAAGAAACATAGGCGTTTTTTCACAATTGGTCCAACCACTTATGTTATTGATACATCTTTGTAAACTGTTTGGGGGAAATGGTTTAAAATATATTGCTTTCAGCAAATTATGGTTTAAAAGTTGTTGTTTTTTTTGTATTGAAAACAGTAACACTGGATAAATTCCCATACATTATTTTGGGTATGTATTAAAATTGTGTATTTTTGTTTTGAGTTTTATTAAAAACTACTTTGAATTGTGTCGGATCAGTTCTTTTTCCTCAAATAGCCGGTGCCACTAATGTGTTGTCACCCAAATCCTTCATACATACAGTACCACATATAAAATGGTTAATTAGAATGCAAAAACATTGCTTAAATGTTTGGCAATAGATTTCCTACACTAAGAAATGGTCAAAAGAAATAAAAATGTCTTATTTAAAACCCTGCAGGTATTCTTCCTTTTATCATGGCTGTCTCTAAAAGACATGGCAGGTAAGACTATTTCTTTTCCCAGTTTATGATTATCACACAGACACTAAGACAACAAATGATGAAAAAATTAAGACACAAGTAAATGGCACAAACCAACAGCAAAAAAACAAACAAAACAAAAACCAATTGACAAACTCTAAACCACCTACCAGTTACTTAAAACTACATTTGGACTAACAGCCATTTATAGAAATGATCTGAGAGCAGAACTAAGCAGGACAAACCAGGAGGGTTGGAAATGTCTGATATATACGAAGCAGTGCATGTCAAGGTAAATGATAACTCTGTCTAATATGAGACACTTTTAAGACAACAGGTGTGAGTACTGCTACTGAGATGCAACTGCCTATAAAACTTAAATCTTCTAAGATACAAGTTTTGGCATCCGAGCATCTAAAATCTTCATGTGCACCTTTTTGTGTTCTCATTGGTCTTTAGATCCAGCCGAAGCCAAAAAATGTGGATTAAGAGAGAAATCGACCAAACCAACCTCTTGTGGTTCCCTAAGTGACACACATTAGCCACCTTTGTCTTAATAACACCTAATATAATGCTAAAACAAGTTTGTATTCTGCTTATCCAAGCCTCACATTAAACCTAGTCAGGCCCTTAACAGTAATACAATGAAATGATCACCTACAGTGTGAACAGCATTTTTTCCCCCCCCATAGAAGTAAACCTGTTGTCCAAATAACCAAGAATTGTGTACACTGGTAATCTTTTCATAAAAACAAGGCAGTTAATGGTACTGTAGGCTACATTTGTGTGAAACAAACTATGTGAAATCCAGTAATTATACAGTTAGGGAAATAAGTACTAAACATTACAAAGTTGTTTTTTAGTAAATATTCTGTAAATCAGATTTTCATCACAGACCACATGAACTGCACCATGTCAGTAGCTACCCAAGTGACCCATACAAATCAAATGAAAGATTTTTAGACCCAGAATTAAGTTATGTAGTAGGGACGACACAAAGATTATCAAGTGCAGGAGAACAGTGAAAGTTGAGAGAAGTGGTACCATTTATCAAAGGAAAATGATGTCCTTCATAGTTTGATCCTAGCCAAAGGTCTACAGAAAGGTTTCTCCTTGTCAAAGATGTCTTTAAAGAGCTGTAGAAGTGGCACTCGTTACAGGCACATTTCAGAAAGGGTTAGAAAAAAACTGGAATTAGCAGGTAGCGTTCCTCCATAAAAACAGAAAATAAGTTGTTCTTGCTATGAATTCTTTCTGGACTTACTGGTCAACGGAATAAAAAGAGAATAAAGCTGTTTGATTGGCCCCGTCTGTCGACCAAATTTAATCCAAATGAAAATTTATGGAAAGAGTCCAGGTGAGTTTCTCAGATAAATAAAAATTTGAGGACCTTTTCTGCTGAAAAACAGGGATCTCCGTACAGTAACTAACCAACAAAATGGTTAGATATAAAAAAAAAAACAAAAAAAAAAAACAGTTTAGTAAGCATCTCCTGATCTGCTTTATCAAACACATTTTAAAGTATCGACTTCCATCCTCATTCCTTGTATGTGTGGATTACTTGGGTTGATACCGACCTCTGGTGGATTTAATGGTAACAGTCTGATTAAAGTGAAAAAAGGGTCTTTTTTTCAGTAGCCCCCCTAAGTAGTACTCAGTACTGTCATTTTGTGGCATTTCTGTGACGAAGACATAACACAAATGGGCAAATCTTTTTGATTGTAGTTCAAAGATGCAAGTTTCCAACTCTTAACTCAGCAGCAATTGGAAATGCAATTTAGTGATCAATACCAGATCAGGTTTCAGTTCTGCAGTTTTTTGGGATAAATGACATATTTTAATCAGGATAATTTCTATAAATGATTAGTCTGCCAGTTTATAAAGTTTAAAAATCCTTACAGTGCATTTACAACTTTCTTCTTGTAAGAAATGAATAATTGATGCACCTAAATATATTTTCTATCTGCAAAACGCACAAAAAATATTCTTAAATATACACTTCAGTGGAATTTTTATACCCTAAGATTGATTGTACCATCACTTCACTACATACAATACTTTAAGTTTCAACCAGTTTAAAGATAAGATAAAAAAAAAAAAGATGTAGTTAGGCAGGAAGGATCATATCTGTTGGCCTTTTTCATTATATTCATCATGTTTAACAGCAGAGCAGAAACAAGCATTTCCAGTCATAAACAGCTGAAAAAGCAGAGCTTTAAAGGGTAACATTTGATCACGAGTAGGTGGTCTTGGCCCACTTTTGGCAGAGAACCTTAAACACCCTCCATCCCATTAACACTTTGTAGAGGAAAGTGTTTCAGCAACTTGTAGACCCTGCTGGACAGTCTTTGGGTCCACCTTGAGTCTTTTGGTCCACTTTGATAGAACCCACCAAGGGTAGAGAGCTTTCACTAGGAGACGAGTCCCTGCGCACGGTCATATTCTGTGATCAGGCCTTTGATATGGGACAGTTTTTTGTGGAGGTACTCGCACCGCTTCTTCTCTTCCCGATACCCTGGAAACTTCTAAAACAAAGGAAAATAGTCTGTATTAAGAATTAAATCCACAAACTCTTGATCATTACAGCAGATAGATGCTCGGTTTAGCTTTTATAAAGCCTAACAATCATAGTTTTAATGAAAAAAGAATTGCACCATGGCCTGAAAGGAGTGAATAAGATTAAGAATACTTCAAATATCCTTACTTTCTTATATTTTCGATATTTTTGGAGTATTTGGTCCTCCATTAGCTGGGGGAAAAAAAGAAGAGTGTTACTACCCTGTATGTGTGCCACATTCTGTTTGCTATTCTATTAATGGAGCAGTTTCAGCAGGCTCCCAACACAGAAAGTACCTTGTACTCCTGTGTTCCCGGCGTGAGGGTGTTGATCTTTGAGCCCAACTGAACAAACATCTCAGTGATGGCCCCAATCCGGTCATGAAGGGCTCTATATTCGTCATACTCAGCACAAAAGTCATCTTGATACTGTTTCCGCTGCTCCAGTGTCCTTACGGTCTTGTATTTTCTAAAAAGAAAAGGGAAATATGTTTCTAGAAAACAAGTATGTGTCAGGTCTCTCCACTAGATGGCAGTCAAGTCACTGTGTTAACAGCATAGTGTGTTGACCAGATGTATGAATCAAGGACATCTGATGTTTAGTTTTCTGACTTATTTTCATTGACCTCATATTTATATCGCCTTCTATGTTTATCTGAATGGGTTAAAGTTAAATCATACTGTTAGGGGAAACTTTTCTTTTCAAAAATAAAAGGTTAAAAGTGAAATTTGAAACTACTCTGCTACAACCCCTGAAGTAAAGGTCGAGTCAGGTTTTATTCATAAAAATAAATTGATGCAAGAAAAATGTTTGTAAACTTACATGAAATAGTCGGGCACTTCTTCAGCTGAGGTTTTATTAACAGGTGCTTTGTGTTCCCCATCATCTGGAGCTGCGTAGAACACACATTCACATATAGAGGAATAATTTTATTTCTGCATACTAATTCAAATCAGACAACAGGCCCATCATATCAGGGCTAACTGTTATTTAACAGTGTGTCTGATAACAGCCAATCCAAGGCGAGCGGTTACATGAGCCAAGCAAAGCAGGAGGTAAATCTGCCTGTTGACAGGCTCGACCATAGGTCACCCAGCTGTTCTACAGTCAATCATCAACAGAGTCAGCGCCTTTACTGCTGATTTGAATTTAACTATATCAAATATAGTTTAATTGTTCTATATTTCTAGGTTCAAGAAAAAAAATAATTGAACTTAATCTTGAACTCGTAACTCTTTGTTTAAACAGCCTTTATACACAACTCTATCCTTTATCTTTACAGCATGACATAAATTATAACCTGGTAAAACTTGAAAACTCACCTTTATGATTTTGTTGGTTCTGCTTCATGTCTGGACTAGTTTCTATCCAGTCTGGCTTTAATCGATCTCGCTCCTTGTCTTTGTGTTTCTTGGACCTTTTCTTTTTGTGCTGGCCATTAGTGAGCTGCTGTTCAGTGCATATAGAGGAGCCATTGTGTCGAGGTTTGGGACTGGGTAAAGTGGGAGCTGGTTCCATCCCCTCCAGTTTAGAAACAGTAGACGACGTGCTGAGTTTGTGCGGCGAATACAAACCATCTGGGTTTCCCTGAAGACGATTATTGGTTATGTCGGGCTCGGTTTTTGTTGCCACACAAGAGGTTTCGTGATTGGAGGAGTTATGAGCCCCATTGGTGCTACAGTCCGCATGAGGAGGTGACTGCAGGGGCAGACAGTGTTCTGACAGCTTTTGTTTTTTGGGGGTTTGGGTGTTAGAAGGGTCCAAAGCTAGTGAGCGTTTCTAGAGGTGAGAGAAAAAAGAAATAAATTAAAGCTTATTAGCAAACTTCCAAAGCTTTCAGTATGTGGATAAATAATTTCATCATGCTGAATAAAATTCAGAGAATGAAAATGTTATAGTATCAGGAAACTCTAAAAAAGAAGTAACATGAAATGTTTGGTCACATTTATGAAGAAAACCAACTCAAAGTTAATCCAGTTTAGCCTATATATCAACCTACATGTAGGTTGATATATAGGTCTTTAAAAGTATTGATAACAAGAGACACTGATAGTGCTGAAAATTGTGAGTTAGACATTTGCCACTATTTAGATAAAAATTACCGTTTTAAACAAAGTAAAAATAATAAATACAATCTAATCAACTGTGTTAAAGGTAAAACAACTTCTCAGTGAACACCCATTATCAATAAAGACTAGTTGTGGAACCAAACATTTCCATAAAACAGAACATCACATTACTTATCTTTCCATTTCCTGGATCTGGGCTATAAATAAACATGAACTTGTATTTCCCACTATGTGGAACAGATTCTGGTAAGAGCTATATTTTGTGCTTACATAAAAGCATCAAATTAAGAGGGAAATGCCTCCTAAGTCGTAAGGAAATTAAGAAATGATAAACAGAAATCTTGCAACATGACTAATTACCACAGAAAGATTTTTGGCAGGGCTAAGCCGTGAGGGAGAATCTCCAAGAGTTTTGTGCAATGAATGGTTGGGCTGGGGACTCCTTGATTGGTTGGTGTGCAATGGCTGAAGTTTCCTGCGGAGAGAATTAAAACAAAACACTTTTACTTGGACTGTTAATCCAGAGTATTTTATTATCCATAAAGCCAAACAGGAGGAGCATGGTATTGCAGATTTGTGTGAAACAATAAGAGCAACCACAGCTTTGCAAATACAGAAGTAGAGGTATTTCCATAGAATCAATAATCAGCGAAGGTATGCTGTGTTTTAGTAAAATACACACATGAGGTCGGCACAGACTCAACACAGTCTCCTGGGAGGAAAAATAGCAGCACATTTAAACTTTTTCATTGCCAAACACATTTTTCTGGTAATTTTCCTCATACTCCTCCTTCCTTAAACCAGAGCCATTACCAAAAGTCACTCCCCGCAATAAGATCTTGCCTTCGTAATTATAGTGACAGTAACAACGATGTTCTTATCAATTAAACAGCAATGACTAACTCTGCTTATAAAACTTAAAAAAAAGAAACCTAATGAATAAACTGATGGACAAAGTGCTGAACAGATAAACTAACCAGAAAAAAAGCATTTTGAGGTATCTCTAACCCCTGCTTTATTTATATTTATGATTTTATTTTGTTTTTTAAATTTTAAATTACTTGGATGAGAACAACTGAAAATATTTCAAACTTAATGGGGCTGCTGCAACTTACTGGAAGGAATACAGTATTTCTAAAATGTCACTGAAGCACATGGCTTCAATGTTTTCTGGCAAGCTCTTAGAGATCCCTTCCAAAGTTCTCAGCCTTACAAGCCCTGCCATTTGGCAGGATAATGCATAAAGAATTTTCTACTGCTTTGATGTCTTTATTAAAAGAATCAACACGGCAAAGGAGTTGTCATTTAAAAGCAGCACACAAACAAAAAAAATAAACATCACACTGACACTAATACAGCCCAGTAAAAATTTTATCACTCTCTTATTCTGTGTTAGTTTCTATGTGAAGCTGAAATGTTTGGATCACTGAACATATTTTCATAAAAACAGTAAACTTTATCAAATGCAAAAGCAGTTTATTTATCTAATCTATCACAAAAACTTAAATAAGAATCCATAGGAAGATTCATAGCACTAATATTTACCAGCGAGGACAACATGAAGGTCGTCAGGCATTAAAAAGTCTGTTTATGTTCGTGTGTCAGTAACACAGGTTCAGACTTTCATTGGGCTTCTACAGATATTTGGCATTCATGATTTTATGGGACCTCCTTTGAAGGAGGAAACTACCTGTGTTACATCAGATATAGCAGACCCACCAAAGAATTACGCTATTTTGGTTGTTTCATATTTTCTCCAAAATCTTTGGGATTATTAAAATATTTTGGAGGGGAAAGTAAGATGTTTTCTTTTTTATCTGCAGTGATTTTAACCCTTGAAGTTCCCCTTAAATACCAACTGTTTTTTATAAGTCAGGTTACCTTAGTCTGATATTAAAAGTTTCGTCAATTTCAAACGTTTGGATGCATTTGCATTACCGGTGGATCAATTCATACATTTTCTCTAACTGTTCTGCACAAGGTCAAAAAAAAGTGTAATGACCTATTACAAGATGCAGATGGTTTCATACCTTTATGCTAAGAATTATAGTTTTCAGGTAGTGTTCAAAGAGAAACACGACAACTCACATGCGTTATGAATGTTATTAAAGACATTTACCAGAAAACATTAACAAGAAAAGATTAATTATAAAATTTATTATTACTATAATTTTTTTTCATAAATATTTGTATTTTGCATGGCTTAATTCCCACCTGATAAGGAGCCTGTGGATAAGCTGCTTCTCCTCTTCCAGATATCCAGGCCAGTCTCTTTGGACATGTTTGTAAAGCTCATCTTTCAGAGAGTAGCTGTTGTCCTTAGGATTCAATTTACCAACCTAGAAAAACCAACATCCCCCTTATATGTTATAAATCCACAGGAGAAAGGACAAAGTAGTATAGCAGGAAACAAGTTGAGCTAAAATTGTAAACAAACCAAACCCCATTCTGAATGCTGCTTCCCTCTTCTGACACACTGCTGTTGTACTAACTTTATCACTTGTACATAAACTAATCCCACTAATACAAACATACTAATCTCAACCAACATTTTCTGCAATCACTCAGAATCCAGCCTGAATGACCTCACGCCTCTCCTGTCAAAACACAATCTTCCCACATCCAAAGGGGACTAATTAAAGCCCTAATTACAGTAACTAGTGGCTGCACAGTCTCCAGCTGATGATTGCATCGGCACTCTTAAACAATGTGAACATAGAAAATATGCCAGAAAGAGACCTAATGAAATCAGAGAGATTTATTTTTAATTGCATGACTGATAATCAGAAAAGTGATATTTATTGGGATTTCTATAGTTGCTGTTTATATTTTTTTGTCTCAAGCCAGATCTCAAAAGGCAGTTTAACTGCTTTTTGTGTCACATTTAACATTTCAGATAAAGTACATTAATCCAACAGTCATTTACCTCTTCTAGTACAGAGGTCAGATCAGCTTTGTCCTTTGGGCTGGCCCTCTCCCTCTCTAGCCACAGTAGCATGTCAGGCTTCCTGTAGGGCTTTAGGGCTAAGAGATGAATGATGCGATCCCTTAAGGGCCGATGTGCCAGAGGGCTTGGGATCAGGGTCCTTTTGTTGCTGGGGGAGTGTTTGTTACTGCTGTCGGAACCAGAGACCAGGCCCTGCTTCCTTTGCACCTTCACACACTTACCTAAAATTAAAGTAGACACAGAGATGTTAGACAGGTATCTTTGATTAGAGCTAATAGGTTACACCAATATTCTCAAATTGTTAAATTAAGTTCATTACTGCACTAAGCTAAACAAAAACAGCATTCTTTAAACCCATCTAATAACGAGACTCAGGCAGTGAAATTATCCTGTAAAAATAAAGCCAACATTCCAAATCCTATCCTGAGGGGAGATTTACAAAATTTCAAAGCCAGGCCCACACATGAAAGACAGAGAAAATGCTTAGTCATTTTATCTATTGCTTTTAACATAGTATGCTTTATGCACATGCAGCTGATAAGCCTGTATTAGTCAGCTTGAATAAGTAGGTTCCATGCATGAACACAAAGAATATGGTGGAAAGCTAATGCTTTTTTTTCTGTCTGCAGAAAACAGGAGGACTGTTGCACCAGTGCAATTGTGTGGTAGTAGGAAAGGGCTCATCATATGTATCAATAGTTGGTAAAGAAAACCAGTTAACTCAGAGAAGGCATTGTTCCTGGTGAAGAACTTATTTGAACTGGACCCAAGTAATGTCTGGTAGATATATATAATGACTCTAATCTCATTAGAACCATAATCCATACATTATTTTTTGAAGGTTTTAAAGATAAGAGGCTAACACTGTATTTTTACAGAGAAAGATGTTATTTACACATCCAACAGTTAATTAGGTCTCAAATGTTTAAAAAAATTGAGTTTTCTGCAAACGTTTTTACATTTTTCATGTTATAACTTCCGTATCTTCTTCTAAAGTCACCTGTAATAAAAATACAAATTGAACGTTATTGGATAAATTTTCCTCTGCATTTAACCCATCCCATTGGGAAACAGTGGGCTGCCATTGTTGGGCGCCCGGGGAGCAGTGTGGGGTTAAGGGATTTGCTAAGGAACCCAGAGTGGAGGCTGTGGGGATCGAACCGGGTACTTGCAACCTTCTCAGAGCAAAATGCACTGCTGTAACCAATAGGCCAATACTCCCCAACAACACACCTAAATATGAGTCCTCCAGTGTCTAATTCAATTTTAATGCACATACAGCTGTTCTGTGAAGAACATTAGTAAACAAAAGTAAAGATTTATTGAAGAAGGTTTTTTAAGTCTGATGCCAAAACAGATATTTTGACATTAGTCTAACCAATTCCCAATATGTACTAATAATACTTTTGGGCCAAATTTAGATGCCAATACTGCTTTTTTGGGGGGGTTATGTATCGTCACCTCCCACCTTCCATGCCACCACCTGCAGCAGAGTATCGGTAGGCCTCAAAGTGATTCTGGCTAAACGTCCGGCATCTCTGGAGAGGGAAGCAGTGCTTTGCTGACTGTTTTCAGTGGTAGCAGGAAGTGGTGACTTGCCCCTTTGGAGGAGAGTTCCTGCCTGCCTTAAAGGAATAGTACACCCAAAACATGATTAGCCTTCATTTTCTACTCACCCCCATGCTGAACAACACTCTGGAGTACTTTTTTGATATCTCAAATGCATCTGGAGATCTGGGAGGCTTCTTGCTGTCTGCTGACATTCAAATAATGGAGGTCTATTGTGCCCGAGACAGAAAGGTCCATAAAAGTCCACAAAAACGTGTCAATATTCCTCCATACTGCTCGTCCAATGTAATCCAAGTGTCCTGAGTGGGTAGCATCCAGAATTTACTCGAAACGAAGTCATTTAGAATGTTTTTAGAGCATAAACAGTAGTGTATAGGATTTCCTAATAGCGCCCCCATGCGCGCTCACGACGCTACGGAAGCCGGCAGACCAAACCGGAAGAAAGTGCGCATTCAGCGTCTGGTCTGCCGATAATGCAAGCGTAGAAGAAGAAATGTGCTGTTTACCTGTGCAAAGAAAGAAACAACGAAAGAAAAATGTCTGAGGACTTCAGTGTTGAGGAAGAGCATGAGTTCTTTGCCGAGCTGAATGCGCTGGTTTGGTCTGCCGGCTTCCGTAGAATCGCGAGCGCGCATGGGGGCGCTATTAGGAAATCCTATACACTACTGTTTATGCTCTAAAAACATTCTAAATGACTTCGTTTCGAGTAAATTCTGGATGCTACCCACTCAGGACACTTGGATTACATTGGACGAGCAGTATGGAGGAATATTGACACGTTTTTGTGGACTTTTATGGACCTTTCTGTCTCGGGCGCCATGGACCTCCATTATTTGAATGTCAGCAGACAGCAAGAAGCCTCCCAGATCTCCAGATGCATTTGAGATATCAAAAAAGTACTCCAGAGTGTTGTTCAGCATGGAGGTGAGTAGAAAATGAAGGCTAATCATGTTTTGGGTGTACTATTCCTTTAAGTGCAGGAGTTTAAGTACCTTGGGGTCCAGTGGATGAGTGAGCGGAGAAGGGAACAGGAGATCGATAGCAGAATCAGTGCAGCTGCCAATATAGTGTAGACGCTGGTCTGTTGTGGTGAAGGGAGAACTGAGCAAAACCACAAAGCTCTTGATTTACTGGTCGGCCTACGTTCCTACTCTCTCCTATGGCCATCTAAATCATGACTGACAGAAAAAGATACAAGCAGCTGAAATGAGCTTTCTCTGCAGGTTGGCTGGACTCTCCCTTAGAGATAGGGTGAGGAGCTCACCCATTTGCGAGAGGCTCAGTAAAGAGTAGCTTCTCCTCCACATAGAGAGGAGTCAGCTTAAGTAGCTCTGGCATCTGTTTCACAAGAAACCTGGATGCCTCCCCTGCAAGGTGTTCCAGGCACATCCCACCGGTAGAAGGCCCAGCGGACAGCCCAGGGGACGGCCCAGGACACACTCAAGGGAACATGTCTCCTGGGTGGCCTTGGAATACCTTGAGCTTCCACCAGCCCAGCTGGATGAGGTGTGGGGGGAGAGGGAAGTCTGGGAGTGTCTGCTGAGACTGCTGTCCCTACGACTCGGTCCCAGATGAGAGGAAGACAACAGCAACTAAAAAACATATCTTATTTTCTTCCTCTTCAAACTGTCTGCTACATCATATTTGTCAATCACATAAGATCTCAATACTTATCAGTCGTTAAATATAATGTGACGAAATGCACAAGCGTTGTGCTACCAAGAAATGGCTTTCCACTGAACAGACTACAAGATTCATAAATTATAGCAAGGTTATGTATCAACAGTTATCTTGGACCAGGTAATGGAAGTTTTGAGCTCTTATTAAAATAACCTGTAGTGCAACATTTCAAACATGAAGCAACTAGAGTTTTAAAAGAAAACAGCTTGAGGGATGTTTTAGTTTCATTAAAGTCAGTGCTGAGATTCCCAGGGTGGCTCACAATAAATTGCAAATTTTAAAGAGTTCTTCCTGAACACTGCCCTGTGTATAAGCCTAGTGTCTATACATAATGTGTTAATATAACTGGGCATAGATTAACAATCTCACGGATGTCTCCAGCTTAGTTGGCAGGTCTTCCTTTCCAAGCATTAAATCACATACAATTATGGAAATGGAGGACATTTTTCATACTGCTGCCTATAATCATGACTTAGTGTATGTGCATTTTCTTCTGAGAAGTATAACATTACTGCACCATAAAAAGACAGACCTAACCACAAAACAACCTTTCATAAACTGTGTCTAGCTCTACTAGTTTTGTAATGGTGGAAATCTGCATTACTCTTTGGCCCTCTTAGACTAGCTGCTAGTTTCAACCTTTGAATAAAAATCTGATTTTTTACTAAAAATTAACACATCCAGACAGTTATATTCTGCCATTAACACAACCTAAATTTAAACATAAAAAAATCTGAACAATCGCTTCAGTGCTGTAAGCAGTTATGGAACTTAAAGCTCATTTTGGCCAAATCTTACTTGGTCCTGGCTTGATCTCAATGGCTGTGCGGCTCCAGATGTCCTTCTCCACCTGAGACATGCGCTCCCGTGTGGTCTGGTAGGAGTCGTCTGTGGCACAAACGGTGATCTTGTCTTGAATGCTACCCTGGCTCTCCAGGTGATCCCTGCCCTCCCTGTACATACAAAAAAGGTATTTAAGTCCTGGAGCTCATTCAACATTATTTACATTTGCCAAATAAGTTCAGTCTTTTTCTTAATGTTAAAAACTGGTTCTAGGACCACATCAGGTACAATGTCCTATCTCTATAAAAACAGATTTTAATCTCTGGAGGCTTAAAGTGAGTAATGTCATCTCCTTGGCAGTGCTTTGACCCTGCAAAGCCACAAACACTGCTTCTCTGTTCTCACTGGTCACACCTTTAAGTTCTTTGGAGTTTAGAGCCCTTAAGGTTATCATTAAATCTGAATGTGACCGGGCAGGTGTTGTGTTCACTGTAGTGAGGTTAAAGGAGAGGCCAGCCCTGCAGTTGCAGCCTGACACCACGTTTACTTTGAATTCCATTTGTGGTCTACAGTGGAAACAGTTCTGTGTGCTGCTCACCCTGAGATAAACTGGTGAATGCAGTCAAAGCTGGACTGAGGCTTGTCTTTGCTGTCACTGGAAAGGTAAAATGAGAAGACTCGGAATCCATCTGGAGATTCGGCCGTCGGTGCTGGGATCTTTATGTACTGCCAAAGACAAAAACATAGAGTACACGTATGAGTACAAAGCTGAATACATTTGCAGTGCCCTAACAAACTTATTCTTTTTCCTTGAGCTTTGAACAAAGCAGTTCATTACTTGAAAGTGGAAAGGAAAATGAAATACGTTTTTTAAATGACTTTTGTATGATGAGGCTAGATATTTTTTATTTTTTTATTTCCAGAATAGTCAGAATATTATGAGAATAAAGTCACAACAAGAATAAAGTCAAAAAGTTATGAGAAAAAGTCGTAAAATTAGGAGAATGAAGTCGTAACATTACAAGAATAAAGTCCTAATATTAAGAGAATAACATGACAACTCTTCCCTAAAATGAGGAATGTTGAGCATCATGTGAAGCATATACTTTGGCTCTGGTTTGACAAATAAGGAAATCTTTTAGCACACCAGCATCATATTGGGCAGTAGGTCAAAGTGGACTCGGGTTACTGTGTGGTGATGCTGGTGCTCATCATATGCTGGTCGGAGCTCGAAGCTTTCTTTCTGAAACAGGCTCTGGTATGACTTACTTTTCAACTTTATTCTCATAATATTCTGACTTTATTCTCGTAATATTACAACTTTATTCTCGGAATGATACGACTTTATTCTCTTAATATAACAACTTTATTCTTGTAATTTTATGACTTTATCCTCATAATATTACCACTTTTTTTCTAAACATACCTATAAAAAATGTCAAGCCTGGCCCTGATACTGCATTGTATATTTGTACCTCATGAGTGAATATCTTTTTTAACTTTACTACGTTTTATTGCAATTGAAGCTTTACATCTTTTGGTAAGTGTCAACCAGCTTTACCAGTTAGATGGTGGATGTTCATATTTTCCCCCTTTCCCCCCCCAGAAACAGCTAATTTAAAAGTTCATCCAAAAAGTAATGAAAAAGTGTCAAGATCTATACTGTACCATCACTTTTGGCCACATTTTCTCCAAAAAAATTGAAATCTATCAATATTTGTTAAAATAATTCATTTTTTCTTGACTTAATTGGGTAAGTTACACACTTTGACAGAGGAATATGACAATTTACGTTTAAAAAATAAAACTACAGTTTCTTATTTCGAGTGCATAATATCTAATTATTTTTATTTTAAAGGTAGAAATGCTCATTCCATGGCTGGTCACCTTATTTACCTTCTCAAATTAAGGGTAAATACACTTCTTTTAAGTAATTAGTACTCATTTTTAGATCTTTTTTTTTTCAGTGTACCACCACCATTTTTCCCTTTAGGGATAAAATTTGATTTATATTAGTTTTGTATGTATTTTAAATCAAAATAAAAAAAAAAAGTTATATTTTCCTCTGACTTAAACCATCACTTTGTGGTTGCCTATCACATTAAATTACAATAGAATTCATTCAATTTTGTCTTTGGTCTAAATGTGAAAGAGTTCAGAGAATATGAATAATCTTTCAAAGCACTGCATGTTAGAGGAAAGCTAAGCTAGCTGTTTTAGCAGTAATATTTTGGCAATATTTAACCTTTAGCAGCTTGTGTTTGCTGACAAGATTTAATTTATCTGCTGGTATTACTATTTTCCACAGTGTTATGTAATAGACATATTTAATTTCTCCTTACCAGCAGCTAAACATTTACAGTGTAATCTCAGACATGCTGCGAAAACCGAAATAACAACTCTTTTTTTTCCAAAACTACTCAGCGAAGTTGCTGGTTTCTTATGTTTCATCTTACAATAAATATGATTGAAATATCCACAAGGCGGGCCAGTCATTAGGGCTGCATAGCACCTCCCAGGTCAAAGAAAATGACCTGTAGCTAGTCATAAGGAGATCCAGTCTGATAGCCAAAACATAACAAAAAACAAAGGGAAATGCTCTTTCACTCAGGCTTTTACTTTCCGTGCTACAGACAGTCCATTTCTTCCTCCTTAAAAACAAGCCAAAGGCATACAGTCTCTCTGTTAGAAAGCTGTTATATAAAATGACCCAAAAACCTACTTCTACTGAAAGGATAGTTCAACATAGAAAGTCATTAACCTACAGGTAACACCACCTTTAAAACCTAACTGGGAATTTTCTTTCCTCTACACTCCCTGCAGCTGAGTCTCAGCAATGAAATGGGCAGTTTACCACTTTTGCCCATAATGTGTCCTAGATTCAGATAAAGCATTTTTTTTTTATCTTCCACCCTATTTATGGACAAATTTCCACTAAAGCCTACATTTGTTTAAGTGAAACTGCCTCTTTAGCCACTACCCGTGAGTGATTGATTACCAGCCTTGTGGCTGACAGCACACTGCTCCCAGCAGATGTGACAGGCAGGACTTTGGCTGTCACAAATGCCCAGTCATGCAGCAAAGCCATAAGCATTTTTTTCTTTGCAACATGGAGCCAATAAACAGCACGTCTCCTCAACACCCCTCCTCCTCTCCTAAAACCCAACGCATGCCATTCACCCTGCCCCCATCCGCCTCGAGCTTCCCCCTCATGTGCAGAAAGGCCACCCGAGTCAATACAAAACGCAAAGCAGCCCACAAGGCCGAGGACACTTGAGACAAAGCTGACCATTAATTTTGACCCATTTATGTCTGGCTGTTAACAGGATGTGGTTAAACAAAAAAGCCCTTCCTAGAAACATTTAGCCAAAACAAGCAAAAAACATGAGCAGAGAGAACAAGAGAGCTATACCTCCAGGACTGTTCATTAGGGGAAGCAGAAGCAGTGATAAATGAAAGACATCACTAAAGCAGAATTAATAAATGGTGTTAAAGCTGAACAAAAGATCTCTGATAAGATGAAATGTTTAGCATTGCAATAGTGCCACCATGTCCCTTCTTTCAGTTGATGGAAGTGGTTTGAGTCCCCCCTCCAGCCATGCATTAGATTTGCCTGTCACCCCAATCCATGCCACCGTACACACTTCACATTCTAATTCTAATCAATGTCACTTGGGTCAGACTGTTCAGAGGTCACCCCCACTTTATTCACAGCTTCCTTCCCAAGCTTCATAACCATATGGCATTTAACCCATTAGTTCCCAGGGGTTTCCCGAATCCCACAAGTAGTGCCGCTCCAGCTGATCACATGATCACAGGTGCTGCCCAAAAGGTTTTATGAAAACCTCAGCGAAGCCTGTGTTCATCTGGACTAAGGCTGCAACTAACCAATTATTTTGCAAATCGATCAATCTTTTATTCATGTTTTCGATTAATTGATTAATTATAGGATAGCAATGTTCTTGAAAGAAGAATTTTTGTGAAATTTAATCAGGTGAAACCAAAACTTTTCTACTTGAGGAGATCTGGATGGGACATATTGACAGACGAAAAAGATTTTCCTAATAAATTCAAAATGTTTACATATTTTTACAACTTTGGTATAATTGCTGCTCTAAGTGATCACTTTGTCAGCTAAAGGCATGTTTTAGGGCAGGGGTCTTCAACGTTTTCCAGGCCAAAGACCCCATAACTGATTGCGAGATGGTGCGGGGACCCCCTAATTATATATTGTATGAAATTGTGTTATATGAAACTGCTCCTATAGTCACTCTATTACATATGGAGTAATGTAACAAAAGTAATTTCAGCCTGGGATTATTAAAGTATTTCTGATTCTGATTCCTGGTTGATGGGACAGGTGTTGTGAATGAAATGGTGCCCAGCTAGAAAGAGCTCCTGTGTGTCGCTGAATGTGTGCATTGTAGGGCTGTCAAAAATATCGATACTTAAAAAAGTATCGATACTGAAACGTTGTATCTGGATACAATACTAATTTTCAAAAGTATCGATACAGTGCTACCACCAGTGGCACCTAAACAGTCATTTATCTAAAGTGCAGAATATAGGGAAATGCACTTTCTGAACACTGTGATTGAATAATTCTGTGCACTTTTCAGTTTCAGACTTTTTTTGTAACAGGTGCAGCTGCTGAGAATTATTTTTGTTTCTCAACCGGCTTGGCTAGCGTCATTGTTATGTGTGCAAAGCATAGCCAAGGAAGGAACACTTAATTTTAATTTGTAAGTTTTTTTTTTTATCAAGCTTGCTTAATACTCTGCACAGCAAACAACCTCAAAATATTGTTCTTATTTTTATTGTATTTATTTATTGTATTTTAATTATTAATCAAAATATTTCTGTTGAAATTTGGAGTTTTTATCCTTGTGGTATCGAAAATGGTAGCGAGTATCGAATATTTTCCTTAGTATCGGTATCGTGACAACCCTAGTGCATTGATGACTGAAAGACATCTTTATCCTCCATTTATCCGTTTACTACAGTGTGTTGAATTCATGTTAATGTGGATTTAAAGACATTTCAATTAGTGGAAAAAATTGCAGGAGGGAATATAAGAAAAGTCTAATCAACCAAAACTTTCACGACTCCCATGCAGTAACTCTGTGGAACCCCTAGGGGACCCCCTGTTGAAGACTTCTGTTTTAGAGCCTAAACTCCAGTTAACGATTAATCAATTACTAAATTAGTTGACGATTATTTCAATAATCGATTAATCACGATTAATCCGATTAATTGTTGCAGCCCTAATCTGAACCAGTAAGAGTCATTATTGATCTGTCATATAATTAATCAATGTAAATTGTATGTATTAATAGAACACCATATAAAATATAAAATATTGTAGGTAAATTAACTAAATTTAAATAGCACTTTTCTATTCATACCAGCAGCTCAAAGTGCTTTAACCTTGAGCCACATTCACCCAGTTGCACTCACAGTTGTAAACACATTCATACATGAATAAGCAGATCAGTGGGTTACTTTGGGTTAAGTAACAAATAAATGTTTGGGCAGAGGAAGCTGGAACCAAACCTACAACAACAGGATCGGACTATTTTGAAACAAAAACCCTCCAATCAGTGAACAAAAATACCTTGCATAGGCAGACATGTCCTGGAACACAAACAAAATCATGGCAGCAAAGTTGCGCATGCAAGATACAGACAGAGGCTGAGCTTTGACTGACTTTATTGGTTAATAAGAAA